GTGTATCTGAGCTTATGGCCTTTCTCGCTCGGGTTGTTATGCGATTGAGAGCCGATGTTAGATTGGTTAACCCGGTTGTTTAAGTGAATCTGGCACCTGGCTTCCCCCACTGACTTAAATTGTTAAGTGAATCACTGCAGTTATTAAGTTAGTAGCACGGTTGTTAACAGATAACAGATAATCAGAGTTGGAAGGGACCTTGTAGGTCATCTAGCCCAACCCCCCGCCCAAACAGGAGACCCTACACCATTTCTGAGAGATGGCAGTCCAAACTCTTCTTGAAAGTCTCAAGTGATGATGCTCCCACAACTTCCAAGAGCAGGCTGTTCCATGGGTTGACTGTTCTCACTGTCAGAAAGTTTCTCCTTATTTCCAGGTTGAATCTCTCTCCTTGTTCAGTTTCCATCCATTATTCCTTGTCTGGCCTACAGGTGCTTTAGAAAATAGCTTGACACCCTCCTCTCTGTGGCAGCCCCTCAAATATTGGAAGACTGCTATCCTGTCTCCCCTCGTCCTTCTCTTCCCTAGACTAGCCAAGCCCAGTTCCCACAACTGTTCTTCATATCTTTTAGACTCCAGTCCCCTAATCATCCTGGTTGCTCTTCTCTGCACTTTTTCTAGAGTCTCAACATCTTTTTTAAAATGTGGTGACCAAAACTGGATAAAGTACTCTAGGTGTGGTCTTACTAAGGCTTTATAGAGCGGTGTTAGTACCTCACTTCTTAAGCGAATCTGGTTTCCCCGTTGCTTGTCAGAAGGTCACAAAAGGTGATCAAATGACCCAGGATGTTTCAACCACCATAAACACATGCCAGTTGCCTCGATTTACAAACAGTTCATTTAGTGACCATCCCAAGTTTCAACTGCACTGATAAAAGGCTGGCCGTTTTTCACACTTAGGACTGTCATGGCATCCCCACGATCATACAATCAAAATTCAGAGGCTTGGCAACTGACTCATACTTATGACAGTTGCAGTGTTTTGAAGGGAGGGTCATAGGATCACCTTTTATGACCTTGGGACAAGCAGTGTCAATCATTCTCATCCCCTTTTAATGACACCTTCATCCCTTGCAGGGTGGAGTCAGGGCAACTGAATGGAGCTGAGTGTTTACTGGCTGGATGCCCTTCCTGTTGCCAATGCGGAGTTATATTCAGCAGACAGTGGTGGGATTCAAACTTTTTTCCTACTTGTTCTATGAGAGCGTGCTTCATCGTGCCCAGGGAGAGGAATATCTGCCTGTAGCTAGGATCGAACTCACAGCCTCCTGATTGTGAGACGAGAGCTCTACCTCTAGGCCACCGTACCCCTCGCGACAAGCAATGTCCATGGGGAAGCCAAATTCACTGAACAGCCGTTGTGCTAACTTAACAACTGAGTGTTTCACTTAACATCTGGGGAAAGAAATGTCGCAAAATGCAGGCAAAACTCACTTAACAAATGTCTCACTTAGCAGCAGAAATCTGGGGCTCGATTGTAATCGTAAATTGAGGACTACCTGTATGTGGTTAGAGATATCTGAACTTAAAAGTCTTGTAGTGGGTAGCAGGGTCTTATGAAAGAACAGCACAGGAATTTTTCTGCAGGATCAAAAATTGCAGCAATTCCCCACTTAGGGATCTGCAATGACCCACCACTGAGTTGGAATATTCAACAAAACGTTAAGAACATCACACACCATTTATGTTCTGTGGGAAAGCGAGTGGAGGATCAGACATCCAAGTATCCTTAGTTACATTTGCAGTACATAAACATTGTCTTCTCAATTATCTAAACAAATGTAAGTCCTTGTTATCTTAATTTACAGTTTGTTCCTGTGTATGATGTTACTCTAAATAGCAGGCCTGCTTATTTGAACCTCCTGCATCTCCTAACGGGGCAATTATTGATTCCAATATGTTGTTTTGGGGTATAAAAATAGTCCTCGGCTTACAACAGTTACCTTTAGTGACCGTTTGAAGTTACAACAGCACTGAAAAAAGGGAGCATTTTGTACACTTAAAACCACTCCAGCATCTCCATAGTCATGTGACCAGAATTCAGGCACTTGGCAACTGGCATGTACTTATGCCGGTTGCAGGGTCCTAGGGTCATGTGACCACAACCTCCTGTCCAGACAAAGTCAATGGGGAAGCCAGATTCACTTTATAACCCTGTTATTAACTTAAAAACTGCAGTGTGACAGCCCTGAAGTTGGCCTGAGTGAGGCCATTTTCTAGCTTCAGAGTTGCCACATTGGAACTGAGGGTTAGGGAGTAGAGATAGAGGGGGTTTGTAGCCAAAACAAAATACTTTCTCTTGGGAACCAAGGACAGTCCCACAGGGGGTCAGAGAGAGGCAGAGTGACGTTACCAGTCAACCAGCCAACAGGTTGATTGGACCATGTGACTTGTCATGCCCCTATCGGAATCTGAATTGGAGGGGGAAGCCAAACAGCTGCCAGGGAATGAGAGTGTGGCTCCGTTGGTTGTGGAAGAAACTGGGGAAGGGCAAAGTCCAGCTGGGCAAAGCATGGGAGAGGTAGAGCAAAGGAGAGGAAATTCAGAGGAAGACCCAGGCCCACCCCCTCTTCATCCTAGGGCACACAGGGAAGAACGGAGAAGAGAGCAATGTGGGTTGCGTGGCTTATGGGGGAGGAAAGGGCCCTGATTCCCTTCATTAGCTCCAGCTGGGAACACAGTGTATAAAAAAAGGAAGCTGCGCACAACAAGTTGTTGGGAGCAAACATGAATTTATCTTGTATCATGGTGGCTTATCCCAACTGTGTGAGTTTTGCCGTGTTTTCAAGTCTGAAATTCTTTCTTCCTGCCTGTCAAACTAATTACTTCAGCTTGGCTTGTTTGGATTTTTAATTACAGTTTGTATGTACCTTGCTCTGGACTGAATTTTCTACAGTTTTGGACTGGATTTCCTCCACTTAAAAGGCTGCTCCTGGGAGAGTTTTTCTCCAGCCAAAGGTAACCTGGACATTGAGGTCAAAGTTGGAGACAATAAAGGGACTCTTATGGCTTATTTGACTGTGTTGCCCTTTGTGCATGCCCCGGGTCATCACATGACTGACTGTTTGGGGAAGGGGAAAAACTTTGACTTTTAACTTAGTGAAAACTGTGGGAATATTCAGAGTCGGTTTTCACCTGCCTGTGCCAATATGATATTTCCAATAAATCAGTTCTTTGAGGAATCTACCTGTCTCGGGGTCCTATTTATCATGGGAGCACAATGGAACCTCGAGTCACGACCATAATCAATTCCAGGACTACGGTCGCAACCTGATTTGGTTGTGACTGGAAGCGGACGACCGACTGCACATGCGCAGACAAAAAAAATGTACGGACTGCGCATGCACGGAAGGGGAAATTGGCGCAGAAAGGGAATCTGCCGCAACCGGGTTTGTTCTCCACCCAATTTTTGAATTGTGACCCAATTCCAAAATTGGGTGGATTTTTTGGTTGGAACCTGATTTGGTCGCGAACAGAAACGTTCGCAACCCTACGTTCCACTGTATTGCTTGGAACCCGGACACAGTGATTCAATTAACAACTGTGGCAAGAAAGTTCGTAATGGGACAAAACTCATTGAACCACTGTCTCGTTTAGCGACAGCAATGTTGAGCTCAATTGTGGTCGTAATCGTGGCACTCAATTTTATGAGGGTAGGTAGAGAGTTCCTATATCTAACTTGGCCTGTATCCTAATCTAATGGGGATGCACCTCTTTCCTAATAAGCAGCTACCAAGCTTGGAAGATGATTTTTAATTCAGCTCTTCCCTGGAGGTTTAGCTACATGTATCTTTATATTGTACAATAACAGAAGATGATTGATTTGCCCACAGAAATAGTTCGTGCGCAGGGGTAATCTGGCCACAATGATTCATGTTTGAATGATCTTTGGATTAGATTATTGTCATGCTTTCTATTGGTGGCTGTCCTTGAAGGTGTCCCAGAAACTTCATTTGTAATCCCTACTTTATGAGCATTACAGCCATGGTGAGAAGTTTTATATCAAAATATATTTTACTCGTAATAGTTAAGGGAAGATGGAAACAGTATAAACAGAATCCACAATGGTCAGAGAATTAGTGCCTCCACATTAGATCATTGGCAGTCAAGCTGGAACAAAATTAATCGAATAAAAATAGCCCACAGGGGAAAACCCCTTTCTCAAATTTCCTCAAATCCCCCAATAAATTACTTAGACCTAATCCACATATCAAAGGATAAGGTCTGCAACCACAGAATTACATAAATTAGTTCTCCCAGAGGAACTGCATATTCACCAGCATAAACATACACACGTACACCCACACACACGCTCCTTGTCGCCCTAGAATTAGATGTAGACACTTCAGGTTCCCCCTATTAAAAAATCTGCTACTGAACCCCATTTCTGCGCAGCCTGTCCTTAAAAGCAAACTGTTTTTATTTTTTCTTTCTGTCTGAATCTCAATTTTTATTTATTCTTCTGCAACCTCGAGTTGGAACCCCAAGTTATTCTTCCAACACCAGAAACAATCCATACTCTGCTAGTTCTCAATAAACAGCAATGACTGTCTATTTTAGCCCAATTCTGTAGCCTTGGTGGGCCAGCGGTTAGAATGTGCAGTATTGCAGGCAAACTCTGCCCACTGCCAGGAGTTCAATCCTGACCGGCTCAAAGTTGACTCAGCCTTCCGTCCTTCCGAGGTCGATAAAAATGAGGACCCAGATTGTTGGGGGCAGTATGCCGACATTGTAAACCACCCAGAGAGTGCTGTAAAACATTGTGAAGCGGTATATAAGTCAAAGTGCTATTGCTATTGGTAATTCAAAGCACTAGGGTGGATTTACAAAAGCCTAAATAGTCTCTCTGCCATCTACCTTAAGAATATTAGAAAAAAAACCCTCTTTTCGGGACTTTGGGTATATGAGGTAAAAACAAGGAAGGAAAGTTTCTCCGTGCAAGAAATTTCAGGAAACTGAAAAACAGAAAGTTTTCTTAAAATTAGTTTTGCCACACTCACCCGGAGCCTGGCTTTGGGTAGGGCGACAGCTCCCTGTTTGATAATTTCGAGTACCCGTTCCACTGACAGCGCAGCTCCAGGATGATCGATCCGTGAGCTAAAGAAGCTGATCACCTTGAATGAAACAGGAGATAAAGACATGATTTAAAGAATCTGTGCCCGGAATCTGTCCGCCACGTCAAAAAAACAAAATTTGAAAATCTGCACAACTGCATGAAGTTTTCTTAATGGGAACTCGCCAACTATATAGCGGTTAATGAGCGGTTTCTTAATGGGAACTCGCCAACTATATAGTTGAATGCCAGATTGAAACTAAGACTAAATATTTATAAAGCAAGTGAGCCAGAATTTAAGTATTGTTTCAAATCTGCTTCTTATTTGAGAATTGGGATCCAACAATGTCCAGATAATTGTACAGCAATGGTTCTCATCCTTTTCTTCACCATGGATCTTCTTTAAATATCGTCAGTGGCCACGGACCCCCAAGGCTTAACTCAAGATATAAATCATAACATTTCTTCAAACTTTTGCTGAACCCCTGTGATATCAAACCCCAGGCTTCCACAGAACACAGGTTGAGAACCACTGCAGTATAGCACAAAGATCAGGAAATTAAGGTGAAAATACCCACAATGACCTCCATTCAAATCTTATCATTATTAACTTTCTACTGCCTTAGTCATTTGTGCATACTAGTGTTGTGGTTAGCCGGCAGCAGGTGCGGACGGCTGAGGAGAGCGAGGACTCAGGGGAGGGGCCAGGACCATTAGGGAGTGGACTGCTGCCTTCAGAGATTGTGGGGGTTGGCAGCAGCAATGAGGAGGTTCCCGAGGAGCCTGTGCCAAGTGTGCATGCACGCAGGGCTGCTTGCAGGAAAGAGCGGCTGCAGCAGCAGGGCGACTCGGGAGTAAGGCTGCAAGTTAATGGCCCCTCCTTCAAGAAGATAAAAGCCAGCTGTGAATCGGACATTCTTCGCAGGAAGCAAAGACATTTTGAAACTCCACACTGCAGTATCTTAGTTGGTATTTGAAGACTGATGTGTTGTAAAATATTTCTAGGCAACCTTATCTGTTATTTTTGGCAGCTTCACAAAGTTTTTGGCGAGGCTCCTGCTTATCAAAGTTACTTAGTTTGCAGCAGCCATTTAACCATGGATTCGTAAGAATTATTAAAAGGTTTCTGTTCCCTTTGGTTCGTGTTTGTTTTATTGGACAAGGGTTTGGGTCAGAACAACTAACACCATATGCCAGTTTCTTAAAATAATTACTTTGTTGCAAAATGACTCTTATGGGAGTTGTTTTGAGAGGGGGTTATTAAGTACCCAAACGTTGGTCAGTAGAAAACACCACATTTACAAAAAGGTAAGTTTCTGTCAGGTGTGAAAGACAAGGGTTACACATGAAGGTCTAATTAAACTGATTTATCAGTTTAATTTAACCATTCGTCTGAAATGGTATACCAGGGGTCTTCAAACTTGACAGCTTTAAGACTTGTGGATTTCAACTCCCAGAATTCCTCCTCCAGTCATGTTAGCTCAGGAATTCTGGGAGTTGAAATCCACAAGTCTTAAATAGGCCCGTTTTGTCACTTCCTGTGTTTCCGGAAATACCGGAAGTGACAAAATGGGCCCATCTTTCGGCCTGCAAAGCCTACAGAGGCTTCCCTCAAGCATCTGGCAGGTCAAAAAAGGCCTCAAACAGGCCGAAAATCAGCTGGGAGGCACAGTGCAGGTAAGGAGGGGTATTGTGCGCACATGCACAGGAGACGTGGGAGGGACTGTATGCATTGCCTTCTGGGTGCTGGTACGCGAGCGAGCGCACACATGCAATTTTTGGCATAGGAGCCCAAAAAGGTTAACCCACACTGCCCTATAATAATCACTGATGTCATTGATAAGCCACAATACTACCGCCTTTACCCTGGGGAAGCCACTCCATATATACATGGACGCCCCAAAATCCACGAAGAGGGAACTCCACTGAGACCTCTTCTCAGTGGCATCAACCCAGTTGCTTACAACTCTGCAAAACATCTAACCACTTTAATTAGCTTACTAAGAAATTCCAGCAGCCTTTTGAAAAGCACCTTTGGGATATCCAATTTGCACTTCCTTTAACTTCCACTTCAATGCCTAACTTGCTTTGGTCTTGCAGTGCATTATAAGAAAAGTAAGGTTTTATATTTAGGGCAAGAAAAAACAAATGGACAAGTATAGAATAGGTGGTACCTGGCTCAACAGTAGTAACTGCGAGAGGGGTCTTGGAGTCCCAGTGGACAATCAATTAAATATGAGGCAGCAGTGTGCTTCTACTGCCAAAAAAGCCAAAGCAGTCATAGGCCGCATTAACAGAGGGATAGAATCAAGATCACATGAAGTGTTAATGCCACTTTATAATGCCTTGGTAAAATCACACCTGGAATATTTATCCAGTTATGGTCACCACGATGTAAAAAAGATGTTTTAGACTCTAGAAAGAGTGCTGAGAAGAGCAACAAAGATGATTAGGGGACTGGAGGCTTAAACATATAAAGAATGGTTGCAGAAATTGGGTATGTCTAGTCTAATGAAAAGAAGAACTAGGGGAGGCATAATAGCAGTGTTCCAATATCTCAGGGGCCGCCACAAAGAAGAGGGAGTCAAGCTAGTCTCCAAAGCACCTGAGGGCAGGACAAGAAGCAATGGAGGGAAACTAATCAAGGAGAGAAGCAATTTAGAACTGAGGAGAAATTTCCTGACAGTTAGAACAATTAATCAGTGGAATGACCCGCCTCCAAAAGTTATGAGGAGGTTTTTAAGAAAAGCTTGAACAGCCATAGGGTTTCCTGCCTGAGCAGGAGGTTGGACTAGAACAAGGGTCTTCAAACTTGGCAAGTTTAAGACTTGTGGACTTCAACTCCCAGAATTCCTGAGCTAACAAGACTGGAGGAAGAATTCTGGGAGTTGATGTCCACAAGTCTTAAAGCTGTCAAGTTTGAAGGCCTCCGGACTAGAAGATCTCCAAGATCCCTTCCAACCCTGTTATTCTGAAAGGGATTCTCAACCAGTCTAACAATGCCTCTAAATACACACCTTATCTTGGGAAATCAGGTAGACAGGAATACTGGCCCTGCCATTGAGATTGCTAACATGCCTTTAATCATCTCCTTCAAGGACTTGGAAATGGTTTGCTGCTTGCGATTCCTTTGTACTCCAGAGTTAGACACCCACCTGGAGCCATTAAGCCTCATTAGACCTTTACAACTCTGCTGCTATTAGTAAAACAAAAAGAGAGCTGATGGTCTGATTATTCAAGGATTCAAATGAGACACACCGTTCCTGCAAGCAAACTACAGAGGCTGCCTCCCTAATCCGGGGCAGCAGCACTCAAGGCTCTGGAGAAACAAGTGCCAAGCAGATGAGAAATTCAGTAGGAGGGGGAAAAAAAAAACACCTTTACTCAGTAGTTAGTACTCACTTTGCTGATTCTAATGATTTCTTACTGCAAACCCTAAACACATTTCTTTCAAAAATGTGAAAAGCAACCAGTTAGAAGGAGACTTTTTTTTTTACAATGCTACATCACAAATAGCACTTGCAATAAGGGGGGAAATATGCTTTTAATCTGATAATCAGAGTTGGAAGGGACCTTATAGGTCATCTACTCCAACCCCCCCCCCGCTGCCCAAGCGGGAGACCCTACACCGTTTCTGACAAAAGGCAGTCCAGTCTCTTCTTGAAAGTCTCAAGTGATGATGCTCCCACAACTTCCGAGGGCAACTTCTGTTCCATTGGTTGATTATTCTCATTGTCAGAAAGTTTCTCCTTATTTTCAGGTTAAATCTCTCCTTGTTCGGTTTCCATCCATTGTTCCTTGTCTGGCCTTTGGGTGCCTTGGAAAATAGCTTGACCCCCTTCCTCCTCTCTGTGGCAGCCCCTCAAATATTGCAACACTGCTATCCTGTCTCCCCTGGTCCTTCTCTTCACTAGACTAGCCAAGCCCAGGCTCCTGTAACCGTTCTTCATATGTTTTAGCCTCCAGTCCCCTAATCATCCTGGTTGCTCTTCTCTGTACTTTTTCTAGAGTCTCAACATCTTTTTTATAGTGTGGTGACCAAAACTGGATGCAGTACTCTAGGTGTGGTCTTACTACGGCTTTGTGGAGTGGTATTAATACCTCCCTTGATCTTAGTCGTATCCCTCTGTTAATGCAACTTAGGATTGCATTAGCTTTTTTGGCTGCTGCTGCACACTGCTACGCCTTTTTCAGCTTGCTATATTATTCTCTAGGATAGGGATGGCCAACCATGGCTCCTTTATGACCTGTGGAGCTCAACTCCCAGAATTCCTGAGCCAGTTGTGTGAAACTATTTTTTCACACTTAATGACAATCACAGCATCCTGTGGTCGTGGGATCAAAATTAAGCCCCTTGGCAACTGGCATAAATTTATGATGGTTGCAACGTCCGGGGCATGTGACCAGCAGAGTCAATGGGGAAGCCAGATTCATTTAGCAACCACGTTACTAATTGCTGGAAGTTCAAACCTACCCCTCTCCTAGGAAAATGAAATATTTTAGGATATACTAAAACGGCAGAATATTTCCCCTAAAAAGAGAAATAGAAACTCAGAAGCAGAAACTCACCTCAGAAGCAGCAGCTCACCCCCACCTTTGCTAATTGGGGGGGGGGGGGATTAAGGCCTGGGCTGAGTATTCTATATAACAAAGCCCTCTACCCATCTCACCACCTGGCCTGGGGAGATTGCATCAGCCAGCACTCAGGTGAAGTCATGTGGTCCAGACAAAGCCTACAAAGTTAGCTAAGATTCCCATCCCTGACAGTCTGACAGCCAATGGGATACATTTTTTACACAGGAACAGGAAACACTAGGGTGGGAGGTCCAACAGAGGGTATATAACTAAGGGTCTCTCAGCCATCTTGCTCCTTTTCTTTTCCTTCACCCAACATCTTGAAGCATGAGATCGTCCTTTTCACTTTGGAGCTCCAAGCCATGTGGTCCTGTCCACCATTAAACCATCTTTCCAAAGAGCCTCCATGTTTCCAGTGTCTTTTTCCCCACTTGGAACTTTCTTCCAACATAACATATAATTGCAGTAATTCACTTAACAACTATG